TACGCGAGTTATTGTGTATAATATCTGTCCAGAGAGGCCTGTTTCTGGTGTCTGTAAAATTTGCCCAAAATGGGACAGGACACTGTCATTGAATGTGTTGCAGAACCGGCTTACCACAGTTCTGCCAGGGTGATAATTCTCCGCAAAACTTTGCACCTCACTCCACTTTGCACAAGTGTCCTTAATCACTGAAGAAAGCACATTCTCCCTCCTCTCTTCCTCCTCTGAAGCAATATCCTCAGCTGCATTCTGTTGCTGTTCCTGTTGAAGGTGTTGCAGCTCTTCAGTGGTTAGCTCTTCCCTGTGGTCCTCCACCAACTCTTCCACATCCTGGCCACTCACATCCAACCCCATGGACTTCCCCAAAGACACAATATAGAAATATAGGATATTGAAGCGATTCCTCCAGAACTCTCTTAGGGTCAATTCAGTGTCCGAGGTCACTTCAAAGCACCTTTGAAACACTGCTTTGGTGTACAGTTTTTTGAAGTTTTAAATGACCCGCTGGTCCATGGAATGGATGAGAGAGTTGTATTAGGGGGCAAGAACTTCACTGTGATGAACTTAAACTCCTCAAACAATAGGTCTTCCAAGTCTGAAGGATAGCAGGAGTAAAAGTCCATTAAATTTAGTAATTTATACAGGAGAAGGGGTTACTAGCCCCTTGCTCCTGGCATTTTAGTCGCCTCTTACAAAATACATAGCTTACGGAGGAAGAATTCTGTTCCACTTCCCCATGGAGATAAGAGGAAATAAACAAGAACAAGAACTAGTAAGAAAATAGAAGAAAATCCAGAGGGGTGTGTATATATATATAATATATATATATATATATATATATATATATATATATATATATATATTCTTTCTTTCAACACACCGGCCGTATCCCACCAAGGCGGGGTGGCCCAAAAGGAAAAACGAAAGTTTCTCCTTTTACATTTAGTAATATATACAGGAGAAGAGGTTACTAGCCCCTTGCTCCCGGCATTTTAGTTGCCTCTTACAACACGCATGGCTTACGGAGGAAGAATTCTGTTCCACTTCCCCATGGAGATAAGAGGAAATAAACAAGAATAAGAACTAGAAAGAAAATAGAAGAAAACCCAGAGGGGTGTGTATATATGTGCTTGTACATGTATGTGTAGTGTGACCTAAGTGTAAGTAAAAGTAGCAAGACGTACCTGAAGTCTTGCGTGTTTATGAGACAGGAAAAAGGACACCAGCAATCCTACCATCATGTAAAACAATTACAGGCTTTCATTTTACACTCACTTGGCAGGACGGTAGTACCTCCCTGGGCGGTTGCTGTCTACCAACCTACTACCTAGGACTTGTTTATTTATCACATTCATATTTGACCTACAATATTTTCAACTTACAATGGGTTCATTGGAACATAACCCTATCGTAAGTCGAGGAGCACTTGTATGTGATAAATGTAGGTACAGTATTATAAATTATATAAATGAATTCTATGAAAGAAAAGACCCTTAGCTAAGTGTATCAAGTAATTTGTTAAAAGAAATTCAGATTTTCACTAGACAATCCATGCTTGTATTAAATGAATTACTGAGGTTTCACATTCTGTCTATTAATGATACAGAAATCCACTTACTAATGGAATTATGAAAGGATCTTTAAAAGTCAATGATGCTGCCACTGTCAAGATGGGTCCAACACAAGAAAAAATGGCAGCCATTAGCAGCATACGACCAGTCAGTGGGTCTACAGGAAGACGGGCTAAATGGAAACCAAGAGGTGTCAAGTTTTCACTTTCGTCCAGTGCATTAATTGCTCGAAGCTTCAGAAAAATATAGAATAATTATTGAGAAAAGGTGTACAGGTACAGTAATATAAACACTAAAAAGGTTGAAAGCTAGGAATAAAGGATACAATAAATGATATACAGTGGACCCTCAGCTAATGATATTAATCCGTTCCTGAAAGCTCATCGTTAGCCGAAATTATCGTTAGCTGAATTAATTTTCCCCATAAGAAATAATGGAAATCACATTTATCCGTTCTGACACCCAAAGTCTGACAAAAAAATTTTTTTACCACATGAAATTAATTTTAATACACACAAACTGACACTTACCTTTATTGAAGATCTGGTGATGATTGATGGGATGGGAGGAGGGGAGAGTGGGGATCGTTATTAATGTTTAGAAGGGGAATCCCATTCAATTAGGACTTGACGGTAGCAAGTACCTTTTCCGGGGTTTACTTCCCTTCTTCTTTTAGTGCCACTAGGACCAGCTTAGAAGTCAAGGACCCTGATCGCACAACATATCTGTCCACAGAGGCCTGTTATCTCCCGTTCCTTTATGACTTTTCACTAAAGTGGGTCCACAACACTGTCAGTGTAATGTCACCAGCCGGCTTGCAACAGCTGTCGTGAGGGTGATTTTCATCAAAATAGGTTTGCACTTCAGCCACTTTGAAGTGATTTCCTTATCTTTGAAGTAGGCAACTTCCTCAATTTCTTATCCTATCATCCAGAGCAGGTCTTCCTCTGGTATGGCTCTTGGTGTTGAAGATGTTTCAGAGATCATCATGGTTGTTCTTCATTGTCATCATCCTCCAACTCTTCCAAATCCTCCCCACTAACATCCAACCCCCAAGGACTTCTCCAATGCAACAATTGATTCCACAACTGGCATAACTTCTCAAGGGTTAGCCTCAAATCCTTCAAAAATACATTTTGTCTAAATTTCTGGGCCCACAGTTTCTTCAAGCAGAGTTCATGTCCTCTTTGTCACTTCATCCCATGCTTACCTATTATGTTTAAACAAATTGAGGTTTGCTAAAGGATCTCTTCAAAACTATCTTAGAGTTCAACTGAGTTTTGAGTGTCACTACAAAGCACCCTTTCAAACATAGCTTTGTGTAAAGTTTTTTGAAGTTTGGCAATGACCTGCTGTGGTCCATGGGCAGGGAAGGAGAGGAGTGGTATTAGGACGGCAAAACTAACCTAATGAAGCTCATGGCAACCAGAAAGTCGCATCTGCCACATGCTGAAGCGATGACCTGTTGCATTGTCTAATACAGGAGGCACTTATGCGTCCAATTTATTTCCAGGAGGTTAATTTTGCACAGTGAAAGGCATAATGGCAGGTGTAACCAGTCATAGAAATAGGTCTCTAGTGACGATGCCTTACTGTTTGCCATCCACTTAATGCACAAAATTAGCCTTGTGGGACATTGTTTTTACTGGATCTATCTGGGAGTTTCAGGTGATACACCAATAAAGGATTCTCTTTGAATACCCACTAGCAATTAGCACGCTCAAGAGACTAAGCCTGTCTTTCATAGGCTTATGTCATGGGAGTGCCTTTTCCTTCTCAGTAAAGTAGGTCCTGTTTGCATTTTCTTCCAAAACAGGCCTGTTTAGTCACAATTAAACACTTGTTCAGTTTCAGTCCTTCATGTCTATGTACTCCTTGGAATTCCCAGCCACATATTTTTTCAGACGCTTTGTGGTCCGAACTGGGCCAGCCTCACCATGCACTTAACACAATATGTATGCCCTACGATTCTTAAATCTCTCAAACCAACCTTTGTGCCTTAAATTCACTCACATAACCACTAGTGCGGGCATTTTTCTATTAAATCCTCACGCAAAACTCCTAGCCTTTAAAATATGATCGTTGAAGAGATGCTATCTCCTGAAATCTGTTTTTCGTTTATCCACAACCAATAAACAGTCTCTCAACATCTTCTTTCACTTGCGGATCTCTTATTCGAAAACAAAGTAGCAACCCTTTGGAAGAACAGCTTCCTTGATTGCCGTTTCTTGGCCACAATAGTTGCGATGGTTGATTTGGGGTTTCGTATACAACCTGGCCAGCTCGGAGACATGCACTCCACTTTTGTACTTAGCAATTCTCTCTTTCTTCATATCCATAGTTATTCTTAACCCTTTTTGCTGTAGGGTTGGCACTTGAAAGCTTTCTTGGGTCCCATGGTGACTTTATTTTGCAGGTAAAATCACTAAAAACGCTGTGATAATATGAAATGTTCCGATTGTATTCTTGGATGTGACCGTGGTGGCTGGCTTGTAAACACTGGCACCCACGGGACAAGTGAGGCATGCTCAGGCCACACGTGGATGCGTCTCGAATGAATCGCGTTGGGCGAGTTTTTTTAGCGTTAGCCGAGGCAAATTTTTTGCGCTAAAATGTATCGCTAGCTGGATTTAACGTTAGGTGATGCCATCGTTAGCTGAGGGTCCACTGTAATTAGTACAGTGGAACCTTGGTTTTCATTTGCCCTGGTTTTTGTCGAATTCGGTTTTCGACAACTTTTTTTTTGTCAAGATTTAATCTCAGTTTTCATTCATCACCTCGGTTTTCGTTAAGCTGACAGTGGTATGCCATACCCAACATGTCCACCCATGCCCACACAAAGCATCCCATGCGTTTTGAGCCAGTCTGGCTTTGTTTCTCGTTGGTAGAGGATGGTAGTGACGGTGGTAGAGGGTGGTAGTGACGGTGGAAGAGGGTGGTAGGGACGGTGGTAGAGGGTGGTAGCGATGGTGGTAGAGGGTGGTAGTGGTAGAGGGTGGTAGTGGTGGTGGTAGAGGGTGGTGTGAGGTGGTTAGTAGAGGGTGGTAGTGATGTTGGGTAGTGAGGGTGGTAGAGGGATGGTTCGGTAGTGAGGGTGGTAGAGGGTGGTGGTAGTGATGGTAGTGGGTGGTTGTAGTGATGGTGGTAGAGGGTGGTAGTGATGGTGTAGAGGGTGGTAGTGATGGTGGTATAGAGGTGGTTAGAGCGGGTGTAGTTGTGGTGGTTTGAGGGTGTAGTGATGGTGGTAGTGGATGGTGGTAGTGATGGTGGTAGAGGGATGGTGGTAGTGAGGGTGGGTAGAGGATTGGGGTTGTGTTGGTGAGGTAGAGGATGTGGTTGTGATGGTGGTAGAGGATGCGTGGTGTGATGGTGGTAGAGGTGGTGGTTAGTGATGGTGGTAGTGATGGTGGTTAGATGGGTGGGTAGTGATGGTGGTAGAGGGTGGGTAGAGTGATGGTGGTAGAGGGTTGGTAGTGATGGTGGTATAGAGGGTGGTAGTGATGTGGTAGAGGGTGGTAGTGATGGTGGTAGAGATTACAGATAACCTTTTCCCTCCTCGCCTTCTTCCATACGCCAAAAACAAGTCTTCATTAAGTAAAAGTGAGATGTTAAATGTTCATTTAACAATAGTCATTAATATTTACTTATATTTATATTCATTGTTTTCCTGTATGTAAAACTATAGTTATTCTCTATAAAAATATATTTTATGTTAATTCTTTTTGGGTTTTGTCTGAATGGATTAATTGGAATTACATTATTTCGTATGGGTAGTATTGCTTCGGTTTTAGTTTAAATTCGGTTTTTTTTGTCAAAACTTTCTGAAAACTAATTATGACGGGGAAAACAAGGTTCCACTGTTATTACTACTGCATAAATATAGGTTCTTCTTCAAGAAATGCAAAATGATACTCACAAAACCGGATCTTATAAACACTTCGTACCATGCATTATCAAAACAAAAAATATTTTTCTTATGTCATCAGCCACATCTACAATAGTAAAAGAAAACTCAAAAAATGAAACTTATTCGTCCCATATTTAATTCGGCCTCTGTCTTGACGCCAGAAATGTGCTTGACATTATATTTAAGATGACACTTCAACTGTAACATCCCCAACCTTCAGAGTGCAATCACTATACTTCCCACCTCTAAGTCTAGCTAATCAGTTTCATAAATGTTACCCTGCTCACACTTCATGGCAAGTCAAAATAATTATTTACCCATGGTTGTTCTTAAATACTTATAGATGAGGTTGTCAAAGAAGTGAATACTAGAGTGTTGGAGAGAAAGGTGTGGGACTAAAAGACGATGAATCTAATATAAAGTGGGAGTAGTCTCAGTTGTTTTTGCCAATGACATGGTGTTTATAGGAGATTCTGAAGAGAAGTAGCAAAGTTAGTGGAAAAAATTGGGAGGAAAAGTAAAAGAAAATTAAGTGAACATGGAAAGAGGAAGGTGATGAAAGTAACAAAAAAATTAGGTAATGAAAGATAGGATATCAGATTAGAGAGAGGGAGTAGGGAGAAAATGAAAATGTTCACATTAATTTGGACGGTTGTACTGTCAGCAGACAGATTACAAAAGATGAGGAGAACCATAGAAATGATGGAAAAAATGTGGGTAGTACACTTAGGCATCTGTGACGACAAAGAATGTTATCCAAGGAGGCAAAAAAGGGTAATGTACCAGAGTACAGTGATATGAACACTATCATGTAGGTGTGAAGCATGGGTTTTGAATGTTGTATTAAGGAGGATGGAGGCAGTGGAGATGTCATGTCTCAGAGCAATGTGTGGTGTGAATATTATGCAGTGAATTTGAAGCATCGAGATTAGGTGCACAGATGCTTCAAGTATCTTCCAGAGGGCTGAAGGGAAAGGGGGTACTGAGAAGTTTTTTGACATTTAGAGAAGATGGAGCAAAATAGGATGACTTGTATAAATCTGTAGTGGAGGGGAGAGGGTATGGGTTCATCATAGTAAAGATTATAGGGAGGAGTAAAGAAGTTTCACACAAAGGGATTGGACATCCAACAGGAATGTTTGAGTGTGTTAGGAGATACGGGAGGCAAGTGGTTTTTATGACTTGTCATGTTGTTGGAGTTTGAGCAAGGTAACATTTATGAAGGGATTAAAGAAAACTGGTTAGCTGGATCTGAGTCATGGAGGTGGAAACTGCAGTATCTGCACTATTAACCCTTTGACTGTCGAAAGGCCCAATCCTGAAGGA